TTTCAACACTGGTATGCGCCTCCAGGGTTTGCAGTTCATGCAGCTTTTAAGATCCGATCGGCGTTTAGCGCATCAAGCAATTCCGTATTGAAGCCACCTGGTGTTAAATTAACTCCCAATCGCCTGCGCGGTTACAGTCGCAGCCCCATCTTGACGATGACGTGGCGGTGATCCGTCCAGCAGTTAACACCGTACATCTCCTTAGTCACGAGTATATCACGCTGGTCACGCCTCTGAACTAGGAGGTAGTCCAGTAGACGTCAGTGATGCGAGCAGGGCTGCATGCACGTCGCCTTCTTTCGCATCGGAGCACGGGAGAAGGTGCTGGTAAAGAGAAGATTGTGTTCAGTACAAGCCTGTAGACGAAGGAGGCCACTCCTATTGCGGCTGCCGATCCCGTAGCAGTCGCAGTTGCTGGCGGGCGTGTACTTCTTCGCGAACTTGTCCTTCACGTCATCGGAACCGGGCGTTGATGACAGTTCCGAATTTGTTTTCTTAGAGTTCTAGCCTTATGGTCATGAGACGGTTGTTGACTCCCTGTGGTAGACAGGACAGATATATCACGACGTCAGTCCTGATGGTGAAGGAGAATCCGGCTTATCGTCGCTCTGCCCCTGGGCGTCGGCTCCAGAAGGCGTATCTGGCACCCTGCTCCGAGAAGCGTGTCTGACCGGGAGCCAAATGTCCACATCACAGGGAGCCAATTCACTGGGGATCATAACCGTCCTCCTTTAGGGCGGTCTGCCATTCGAACGTCAGAAAAGGGAACGGACATTCAAGACTGCCAGAATGAGCAGTGTCACTTTGACAGTCTGTGGAGAGTCACGAGATCGGGGGCAGGAGTGACTGTTGACGTTTTCAACCGTATTTTCGGCGTCCACAAGCCGCGGTCAGCTTGCCAACCGTGTGTTTTGCCAACAATGTTTAGGGCTCCTTTTCTAGCATAGGGACTGATGAGTCAAACCAGATGGTTGTCGTACTCCACTGTTGGCCACGTCTTTCGGCTAGCGTGAAAACGACATGAATTAGTACGGGCGGCCTACGGGATCGCATGTCGCCGTTTCCGTGTGACTTTTTGTTTGGGGCTGGGGAGGGGGTTTGGCATTAATTCTCATTGGGCCGTATGCCACAATACTGAACAGTACTCCCAATTTTCATAAAACCTATCGAAGCGGGGGTTCGGCAACTTGCTGTTTTTTTCCAAGCTTCCGCTAACAGCATTGGGCAACCAACGGGTGAACTCTTCGCTTGTTGCCAGATAGAACTGTAGAACTATCATACCGTCTCTGGTCCATATTCCGTTACATTTGGCTCCCCGCTGTTATCCTCCGTGCTTTGTTCTCTGTCTATATCTAGTCCTGCCAGGTGAATGCTCCTGCTAGTCGAGGTCTTACCACTTGACGGAAAGCATGGACTTCGTGGTAAAAAAGCTGCCTCCACGTTGAAACGATGCGGCGCCCATTTGGCAAGATTTAACAACCTGGTTAATGGACAGGACATTTCCCAGATGGCCAAGACGCATGCGTGCGGGCGCACGAATGTGTGCACATAAGTGTCTGCTGCGTGGACTTATCTCATAGTTCAGAGAATTAGAACATGCAGGGACTTCTTCCTGAACACAAAGCCGATTCGGAGAACTCCGGGGAACATCCGGTATGGTGTTCGTGAGGCAACAATTGGAAGAAAGATGAGAGAAAGGGAGGACCAATTTCCGTAGAACCTTCGTTGACATTGACACAAAACTGAAACGGAATTAAGGGAATGGTGATGCAATCCGGATGCCCAGAATTGTCTGCGCTGATGGTCGGGTAACTTTGCGATGGATTGGTGCTATTCGTCACGATCAACTAATCAGTCTCGGAAACCGGTGTGGTAAATGGGATGAGGCGGGGTCGCCTACGTACTCTAGCTCTCTTCATCCTCAAGTATTGCTCCAGGCTTAAGAGCTCTTAGCGAGACCGACAGCTTGGAATTAACCGTAACTGTCAAGCGAAGTTTTCCCACATTTAATTCATCCGAGTCGAAAGGAAAGCATCCATGAGTAGCTTACATGGGCGTTCATTTTGAGATGGTTGCATATTCGAAAACAGTCTAAACGGGCATGCAGTGAACTCGCACCCCTTTGCCGATTGGATGTAGCAATTTGGGGCTGATATACAACACAAAGGAGACACTGACTATGTCGATACGACAGTCGACAGACACGGTGTTTCAAAATTAAAGTCAGGGAGACAGCTGTCAGAGAACAGCCTTTGCCGTGAAAAATAACGTACAGGCTGCTCAGAGAATAGCCAGAGGGATAATGCCTGCAAGCCACGGTCGAATGAGCCGCGTAGCGAAAGTCGATGACCGAAGGCCAAGTTTTCGATTGACATCGAGCTAGCCGTCGCGTCCGCCATGCTAATCAACAGTGGTGATCTAGCCCCAGTCCAGATGCAGGAAGCTAGTCTAGAAACCAAACAGGTCAGGAACACTCACTTGAAAAGACATCTGGTCACCACAGAGAGAGAGAGAGAGAGAGAGAGAGAGAGAGAGGAGAGAAGAATTCGCTTTATTTGGAAGTATAGATTCAAAATTTTCATCTAGGCGACAGACGACATAAAGGGGGTTAGTTCGAGCCTGAAAATGAGTAAGTAAGCGATCTGGTAAATGATTTTGTTGTCAACTTCGAGTAGTGCAAGTAGGAAAATTGGTAAGGGTGGTTAATATGGAGTACTTTTGTGAAGGAGAATTTACTATAAATAACGATGTGGAAGGGAAAGGTAAAGAGGTTAACGTAACAGCTAAAGATGACTATTGGATACATCCGGAGGAGTATTTGGTACGGCAGTCCCGAGACGGTTTGCGCTAACAGCTTCTTCCCCGTCACCATGGTCAGTGTGGGTGGTCTTTATATCGCCAGCGGAAACCGAAAGGAGCTGTTTTACGTCGGCTATAGTGGCTAGCTCACCCAGGTCACATCGAACTAAACACGAATACAAGTTGGTGAATCTTCCTTGAGGTGACACTGGTGAGGTAAACTGGTGAAATACTGATCGAAGTATTTTTATATGCTTAGACTGACAAAGCGGAGAGGTTCGAGGTGATGATGTGAGAAAGAGGAAGGACTTACGAGAACTGATTTATTGAACTGCTGACTTTACGGAGAGTTGAGTTGGCTAACCATTGCCAAAGCGCTAAATTGTACTCGTGTTTGTGCATGGAATGACACAGGGCTTGATAAGATGCAGGATGACCAAGACGTCCCTCGATGGATTTGGCGTATGAATGCCACCCCTTGACTGTGGCGCGTTCTGTCCTTGGGCTGCACCGGCCTAAGACGGTCGCTCCCTGAAGATCGGAAGTGTGTGACCCGTTTCATCATATGCGTTGCAAATTGAGAGTTCATGTCCAGCCTCCGAGTTGTCAGTTTGTGCTCATGTAGACGGGTCTGCGATTTCCGTCCGGCTTCCAAATGTGGTTGCAGCCCCATCATTGCAAATTGTTTTGTACGCAACTGTTGAGACTTCGGTTAATGACAGCGTGTGCTTAGGCTGCATCAAACGAAGACGAATCGTTACTTGTGGTCGAGGGACTATGCCTGCTCTGGCGACTTGCAACAGTCAGTAAACCTCCACCGGGGCTTTTTTATGTAGGGTAATGATCCATGAGAATTTCAACTGCTGTTATTTTGCCCATCGTTTGTTCCTCGGCACCTCGTTTGCTCGATAAAGTGGTTTGGATACCTATCGACTTCGAAAAGGTTCTGAAGGTATATTTGTTTGGCTCGTGTGTTCGTTGGCGTGCTACAGTGTGTTTCAGCTCTTTGGAATAGAGTGCACCACTTCTATCACTGTTTGATTTTGTGAATTCAACGCTTTAACAGTGGCGAGTCGACCATACTCTCCGAGGCGTCAGCAATTCATTAAATCTGTTCCAATGAGTTCTTCCCCTTAGAACGCTTTTATAAACTCTCAACTAGAAAATACTACTTAGTGATGTTTCAAAACTGATTGACAGGAGGCATAATCCTAACCCTATTCTTACAAAGTCGCACGACATACAGTGCGTGACCGAGCTCATGAAATGTTGCCCAAAATTCTGGAATGCGTTTCCGATTAGGAAGGATTACTTAAGTGGGATTGTTACACTCATTATCATGCAGCATATCCCTATAACATTTCGGACTCGCCGGGATGTCGGCTTTTGAATGCACTTCTTTTTGACCTCCTGCAGAAAGCATACTCCGTAAAAAGTGACTACTTAAGTATCATGCATTTTTCTATTGATTTTCGATGGTCTTATAAATTTAAATATACTCTACAGAAAGCATGCACAAAATAGGCTTTCTTTTCTCATTTGGTAGGAAATCACATTGTCTTCATATTTTCTGCCCGAAGAAAGTGCATATTAAGGTTTTAAAAGTTTCCAAATTCCCGACTAATTTTCAGCCTGATCTGTCATCGCATCAGCGTTTAGCAATTTCAGTCTACAAGGTGCACGCTTTCCGCGCAAGGAAAATCACATACTCCTCTATGCCTTTAAGAAGATACCACATTGAGTTCATGAAACTTTGCAGTGGATCCGGACTGTGTTGTACATTTGATGAGGAGCATTAGTACACGGACATGTGCGGTCTTGCATGCATGGAAATCGCATAAAGAATGGTGTTGGTAGGTTGATTTGTATTGCTATAAACACCGATGGACAGACTGCACGCTAAGAGGTAATTTTGTCACTTCTCACTTTTCCTCAGGTCGAAAAATGCGCAGTCAAAAAACCAGTATACTGACGTGCTAGCCTGCTCTGCACTCGCCCAGGTAATATGTTATATTTTAGGGCGTGTTGAAAAATAGCGGCCGATGTAGCATGAGGTACGGTCCGTCCCCGGCATGCTCTTGGTACTATCGAGACCTCTGTGCTTTATCGATTTTTGCTGGTCCTTTTAAAGGCGAGACACAGGCATGAAGCGGCAAACTGAATTCCGACCAAGGGCTGCGCTCGCGGATCTTAGCTGCCAGATGCTCGCCGGTGGCATTGATGGAGTCGTCCTGGTCTGCGCACTGGCAGCATTTGCAGTTGCCCAGAAGGATATAGGTGTGCGTGGAGGCGCGCTCTCCAGCTCGCTGCGATTCGATGGCCCCGTCCTTCACGAGGGCTTACTGGGTGGCATGATGAGCCTGGACTGTGCCGTGAGTGAAGAGGCTCAACAATTCCTCGCCAAGAAAGTCCGCAGCGGTCACGCTGCTGGAGCTAGCAGCCTCAGGTGGGTGCATCGGAACTGGGACCAAGTCATCGATCCCTGGGGTGGGGACGGTCGCAGAAGTTATCTGGCAACCAAGCCCTCGGAAGAGGTGGAGGGGACGCAGGAAACGGACGGCCGGTACTCGAGGCCATCCCCAAGCCTGATGGGAACCAGTCTTCGCATTATCGGCCTCAACCCAACCGACACGGGAGTTTATGCCTGCGTTTATATGAATTTCAACGCCTCTAACAGTTTGCGAATCGACCTAAGAGAGACTAGACTCGTCAGTATACATGCTCTTCGGGTTACAGAGAGGAAGCGAAGCGAGGGGACCCAGGGTAACACAACGAGTGCAGAGGAGGAAAGGGGAAGTTTTTTCGACGCCTGGACGTGGCACCTCTACAAGTTCACTGACAGCCAACCTGATGAAGTTGTCTTCCAGGGTAATCCTGTTAAAGACCTGAGCGCTTCAATATAATTAAGGTTTTGAAGAAGGAGACACGATCGCCGGGACAAAAGCTTTATTAGCCTGACGTTTCGGATTCCTACTCGGCATCTAGTCTGCCGAGTAGGAATCCGAAACGTCAGGCTAATAAAGCTCTTGTCCCGGCGATCGTGTCTCCTTCTTCAAGACTACTTCCTGGGACTCGGCTCCTCGCTTCTATTGATAATTAAGGTTTTATTAGGGGGGTTATCGACGTTCAAACCGACAGTTCGACCGCAGATTTGGACGACATCCACCGTGTGCTCCACAGCAGGGTGAGAGCAGGGAGGATGACTTGCGCGTGAATTAGTTTATAGTGATAGTCGACTTGCGCAGTACCCACCGCACTCTCTCCTTCCCCCTCTGGACTCGGTGTCATGGCCAAGCCAAGACCAGAGGTGGAAGAGGGTGCAGGTGGCTGGCGCAGCCGGAGCTACCTCTAGGCGTGCCGCCACACCCCAGTTCGGATCCCACGGAGTGGTTGTGCCATAGATGCCACATTAGGAAGGTGCCATTGCAACCTTACTCTCAATCCGCCAGCCCGCCACTCCATTGTGCATATAGGCGGTGGACTCTGAGGGATATTACATGCATCAGGAGACATCGCTTCGAAGCACGGAGAGCCAGTTAAGGTTTCAGGTCTTCACGGGGGTGACTGTTAGTACTCCCTTTGAAATACTTGCTTGACAGGTTGTCACTTTTTTGGACGAAGCGAAATGTCTAGTGGTCCAGATATTTGTTTCGTGATGACTTGGACCGCAGAATACAGGGGTCTCGACGGTATTCGCCGCATGTTTCACAATGGTTCGACCTGAAACTTTTTCGAATCAGACAGACTGTCCTTGTCAATTTATGGACTAACCTTAAGGGTTTCTCGATGAGGATAAAGGATGCACTGGCCATGCAGAAAGGACAGAAAGCCCTCGAAATTTCAAATTCGTGAATCCAATGGGTAAAAACCGAGATATTTACACCAAAGACTGATGTCATAGGTCATACGAGATTTCTCCTGCTTCTCCCCGAGACGTCCTGTCAGTTCGTCAGCCTCTCTTTAGTTACGGTTTTCTGTCCGCCTCTAGTCTGCCCAGTGTAAGAACTGCACTAGAATAAGAAATAACGACATCCTGTTTGGGAGTATTTACAGTAGATGTGCTAACTCATGAAATTTCAACCAAAATTTCGAAATGCGTTCTCGTTTCGAAACGATAAATTAAGTAGTGTTGTAAAACTAATCATGATGCAGCATAAATCTATAATGATCCAGTTACCACAGAGTGTCAGCTTTCTAAAGAATTTATTTTCAGCTGCATGCAAGATCTATACTCTGCAAAAAATGACTACTTAAGTAGCATGCAATTTTTTCATTGATTTTCGATGCCCTTGAAAATGCAATTATATTTCATGGAAAACATGCATAAAAATATTCATTCTTTTACTTATTCGGTAGAAAATCGCGTCTTCTTCCAGTTTCATACTCAAAAGAAGAGTATAATTTGGTTTTAAAAAAGTTTCTAATTGTGAGATTTTTTAATACCG